GAGACGGAAGGGAGTTCCACAAGCGAGAAGTGCGAGAAAAAAAAACTGTTATCATAAAACTTACGTCTACATTTTGCCAGCTTAACATTCAACTGATGAGATCATGACGCTTGTTTAGTACTGCGCTTAAATTAAAAAAAAATCTTTCTTTCTTTTTCTCTATTTCTTCCTTCCCTCCTCATTTTCTTTCTTTCTTTCTTTCTTTCTTTCTTTTTTACTTCCTATCTATCTTTGTTTGTTTGTTTCTCTCTTTCTTCCTTCCCTCCTCATTTTCTTTCTTTCTTTCTTTTTTACTTCCTATCAATCTTTGTTTGTTTGCTTCTTTGTTTGTTTGTTTGGTTGTTTGTTTGTTTCGTTTTTTCTCTCTTTCTTCGTTCCCTCCTTATTTTTTCTTTCTTGCTTTCATTTTTTTCCTTTCTTCCTTCCTTCCTTCCTTTCTTTTTTACTTCCTATCTATCTTTGTTGGTTTGTTTGTTTCTTTTTTTCTTTATGTCCTACGTTACCTCTCTCTTTCGCCTAAATACTTATGGTAGAATTTATATTAAGCTATCAGTTTAAAAATGTAATATCTATTCACCATGAGATGGCACCAGAATTCATTAAAAATACAATTCTTTTTTTTTTTTTTTTTTTGCTACTAGGGAGACTGGTAACTCTAACAGACAAACCGAAAACGTTATCTTGTAACTTACTTGTAAAACTCTGCCTGCTGCGTATATTGATTATTGGCAAGCAACAGGTTCCAATCAGTTGATGGGTCAAAGATATAACGGCTTCTATTTCTGGAGATTTCTAGTTGAAGTAAGACAAACATCGCACGCGATAAAGTGGTTAATTTCATAGACCAGACAGAGAGATTAAAGATAAAGTGTATGTGTAAAAGAGGGCTTAATCTTTTAAGGGAGACAGATTTTGGTAAAGCGTTTGGGGATGTGAAGTTGGGAAGATATATTGATGAGGAGACAAGGGCGAAGATCATCAGACCGAATTTTAAATAAATACAGAGGTCGATGGCTGAATATATATATATATATATATATATATATATATATATATATATATATATATTACCGTATACATAGACACAGTAACCAAGGAGGATCGGCATAAGAAAATAAATATATAGACAGATAAGAAAAAATCTAATATATTAGACATATCAATATAGGTGGGATTTTATTCATTTTAGTAAATGTTTTTGCACAGAGAAAATCTACTTTCCCATAGACGAAATGATCATCTGTATGAGGTAAATTGTTTGGACTGGTTCCATGTAGCTTGGGAAATATGTGTGTATATGTGTGTGTGTACTGATTACTTGTGGTGGGATAGTGTGTATGTGCGTATGTGTGTGTATGCGTGTATAGGTACAAATAAGTTTATGAATTCCTTGTAGTAAGACAGTATGTATGGAGGGGAAATATACACACGCATATATACACGCATGCTGACAGGCACACACCAAAATAGAAACAGATCCAAGAGCACATAGGGGTCACTAAAATATTAAAAGATTAAATGCCGATAACTACTCGCTGGACAAACCTTAATTGTTTTATGACCCTTCACGCAGAACTCTTCATTGACAATTCTAGAAAGAAATTCGGATTACCAACACACAAACAGAGAATGTCTCATATCGAGAATATCTCACATTGAACATGAAGAAAAATTAATTATTTTTAATAATATTATTTTTAATTATATGTAGAAATCTCCACTTTTACCTGAAGACGGTCGCGAGACCAGAAACACGTGTCGTAGTAAAATTATGTAAAACAAAGCATAATATTTTTTCTAAATAAATCCACATTACAACCAAAACGTTTGCGGCACCTCTCTTCTCTTTCTTCTTAATATATATATATATATATATATATATATATATATATATATATATATATATGTATATATATATGATAAAATCTGTTTAAAGGTATGCTATATTTATGGGTTAAAGTTCTAAAATCAGGAGAGAGCGTATGTAAATATAAAAAGTGGACATTGAAGTCAACACCCAGATGGACTGACGATGACTTTTAAGCATGAAACAGACTTCACTTCTGGGTGCTGACTTGAATGTTATATATATATATTATATATATATATATATATATATATATATATATATATATATATATATATATATATATTGTTGGTTGAGTTCATTATTAATAAGGAGGGGGTTGACATTTATTACTTGGAGGATTAGTTATTAAGATGTTTCTGCCAATATTAAATGCTTTTTTTTTTTTGTCGGGATTTTACTTTTTGATTAGGATGGCTTCCAGAATTTGTAGCCGTTTTTTCTAATTGTTTTTATACAGGATTTTGGTGTTGCTAATTAACATTTTCCTGATGTCGAATGATTTGAATGGGTTACTAGTGGTGCAAGAAAGCAAGAAAAAACTGAAAAAAAGAGAACATCAAAAGTTCCGTAGTTTTCAATAATAATGACATGCTACATATATATATATATATTAACTGATGGAAAATATGTTTTTTTTCGCTACACAGTAATAACCATGTTTCAAAGATGGAAGCTAAAAACTTTAAATTTAATTATATAATTAAATTAAAAGCATTAGTTCCGTTTCATCTTCAAGCGAATTTTGGAATAACTTATTTTAAAATTTACTGAGTTTTAAACGCACATATAAATTAATAATTTACTGTTTCCAAGGATACAGAGAAATCCAATCATTTGGACAGGGGCTGTAGCGTGTCCATATATATATATATATATATATATATATATATATATATATATATATATATACACGCACATTCCTGAAACTCATTATATGGATATCCATTAAGAATAACGTTTAAAGTAATAATATAAATATTTTTTTACCTCAAGCAAGACAAGAATGCCCCTTCTACGCATGGGCGGGTGGGGGGTCTTACAGGGATTGAAAATGAGAGAAAAGACTGAGCATAAGGAGGATTGCGGAAAGGACAAAAGAAGATAGAAGATGGCGATTGACATTACATTTAAATTTTTGAAGATTGTAATTATCAGGAAAATAAGTAAACGGAAGGGATTCCATAGGCGGGAAGTAGAAAAAAGATATTGGCGGATTAAAAGTGGCATTTACATTCAACTATTTCAACTGTAAAAGGGTGGGACCTATATGCCAATCTAGTAGCAAGTTTAAATTCATGTAGTCGGGGCACCAGGGAAACTAACACGTCAGAGCAGTTACCGTGAAAATATTCGTAGACGGAAGCCACGTCATATCGGTAAGAAAGATGTGTGTATGTGCGCATATAACGTATAAATAATTCAAACACGTATTATTAAAATCGACCGAAAAAAAAAATCTATTTTTATATCCTTTTTTCATTTGGCTTATGAATAGTCGCACGTTCTAAGCAAATAAAGTTATAAATATATCCCAAATTCATGATATGTAATATTCAAACACCTCAACACATTATTAAAGACATTAACGTTATCACATACAGTAGGGAAAAAGGTTTTTTTCGTTTTCTTTTTATTTAATTTTTTGTGACGAGTGGGGCGTGTTAATTCTAATTTCAATGCGCGTGTATTGAATACAAGTGTCATCTTGTATTATAGCGTTAAGATTTACACAAATTGCGACTCAAAACGAATATATATATATATATATATATATATATATATATATAGATCGAATTCCAGTCGAATCCATTACATTCACTTACGTGCTAATACCCTTGGGAAAGGTATGAATCCTCTTCTTCTCCCTCCAGCTATGGGTAAAATAACAGGACAGACTGGGTTCTATAGCCTTGCAAGGCAACTGGTCTAGGAGAAGGACAACTCTGTATTCAAAATCTGCGGAGGGTCGTTTGGGAACCTTGTGGCATTCGGTGCACCAGGTCTCTGTATTCGTCCCTTCAAAAGGTATGGATGGTCCTGCACGAAGCCTTCACCACTATAATCAAATTTCATGTGCCGGTGTCGGGCTGTCGGTTTCCTGAAACTGATCTGCTTTGACCTCATACGTCGAATCTCGACGGGAGAGTCGCTTATATATATATATATATATATATATATATATATATATATATATATATGCGTGTGTGCATGTTTCATTGAATATGACAGACAAGGCACTTTGATTTAGTTTTCGTACAATATCTCATGTGATCTAATAATTTATCTTTGACAGAAGACTCGCATTAAACCTTTCTGACCAGAGTTCAATTAGGTGTCATCTAAATACTCATGGAAATCTACCGGAATTTATTTGTAACTTACTTGTTAATAACAGATATATAATAGCATCATCTACATGCAAAAAAAAAACGGTTAAAAATAATGGAAGCCCTATTAATAAAAGATAACACTCAAAATCTAGTATGAATTTGGACACAATATATTGACCATGTTTTGAAAATGAATGCATTATATAAATACATACACGCAACAAACTATTTCCTGTTAGCAGTTAATATATTTCAATCTAGAAAAAACTAAATGTATAGCCGAAAGCGCTCGGAAAAAAAAATTAGACGGTTTTTATATGATTTATCATCCGAAAAAAAAATATATATGTAAGAACACATGAGAAATTTAAAAAAAACCTAATCAAAGCAATCGTATCCAATGAAATGTGCATAAAAAAGGATTGATGTCTATATATATATATATATATATATATATATATATATATATATAAATAAAAAAAGAAAGAACAGTAAGATATGTAATCCGGTGTTCTTATATATATATATATATATATATATAGAGAGAGAGAGAGAGAGAGAGAGATAGATAGATAGATAGATAGATAGATAGATAGATAGATATGATGTGAGTATGTGCTGTGTGTGTGGATACGTAAAATTATACTGCTTAGTGAGATTTAATGAATATTTATTACATTTAAACTGATTCTATGATTTAATTTTACTGGGAACATTTCGTTTGCAAATTTGTACATTATTCGATCAAATCAATGCATAATTATTTGGCAATAGATATGTCCTGTAGATTGTTCTTCCAGATCTCTCTTTCTCGTTTATTCTCTCCTCCTTTATTCCTTATTTAAAAATCTATCTATCTATCTATCTATCTATCTATCTATCTATCTATCTATCTATCTAACCTTTCTTTTTGACGAACGTTTCTCGCTTTCTCTCTCGCCACATATATTTATCTACATGTCAGTATGTTCAGACTGAGATATTTAATCTTGATAGGGCAATCAGTCTGGGAGAACAACACTAAAATAAAATCTCCCTGCCAAGAACGAATGACACATGAGACTGAGAATATGGAATCTATCTATCTATCTATCTATCTATCTATCTATCTATCTATCTATCTCAGTTTGTTCCTCTCTCTCTCTCTCTCTCTCTCTCTCTCCATATATATATATATATATATATATATATATATATATATATATATATATATATATATATATATATATATATATATATATATATGTGTTTGGAAAATTAGATAGTCATATATTCCGCCAGTGAGCCGGCATCTTTAAAAAATTATCAGTGAAGTACCAACCTTTAAAAAATTAATTATAATAAGTAAAGTAAATATATAAATAAAAATAAATGCCCCAGCATCAACCTGTTTGACATTTTACTAGAGATGTCCTGCAAACTTTGGAAAAAACTCAAAAGTGATTGTGAAAGACGAATATATCAATTATATATATATATATATATATATATATATATATATATATATATATTGCGTGCCAAATTATTATCGAGATTTCACACAATGTTGGCAATACTGATCTGCATAATCACTGACATTTCCGTACTGATCTGCGCAATGTAAACAAACTGGCGCCATATTTGATATCAGCACGGTGATTCGAACGTGCCAAATTATTAGAAAGGTTTAGTAAAATTCACAGAATTGAGCAAACAAAACGTTTATTAATGTCGAACGTGAATGTTTATGATCAAAAGGAGCTAATAAATAAGATAATGAAACAAATAATAATAGATACAAAAAAGGCACAGTTTTAAACAAATTAATAGGTGTGACGTCGTCCCCCGGTCGCAGCGCCAACTGTGACGTTCTATCCTGATCTACCACGGCGCCAGTTGTGACGTCCCCAAACAGCACCACCAGACGTCCACGCCGCGGCGCTAGCTGTTCGCCCTCGCCGCTCCGTCCGGGTGTCGCTGCTCCAAATGTGACGTCCGCCTATCGCGTCAGTCGTGTTGTCTCGTCCTGTGACGACCAACTGGCTTGGTATCGGTCACGGCACCCAAATGTGACGTTCTAACCTTTTGCGATTCGGGTGGAATCTGGTTAGATTTGATATCAGCCTCGTCGTTCCCAACTCGCTTCCAACGCCTGGTTACCAAGATAACTGCATTGATCTCCAGTCTGCCTACCCACGTTGTGAATTGACCTTAGACAGACGAGATCAAACAGTGGTTGGGGCCGTAATGCAAATTGAGTTCAACGGGGGTGATACTACACAAATATGCATAAAAGAAAATAAAATGAAAACTCAAAAAGTTCAAAGTATCAAAGAAAAAGGTAACAAACTGTATGTCTAGTTCGATACATAGGACTGCATCTATCTCCCGACCCGTTCTGTGGATTGTGACACGTCGATTTCCGTTAGGCAAGTTTTAACGCTTCAAGTTGTTTGCTCTCTAAGAAATTGGTTTTTCGGTGTGTCTTCAGACGAAAGTCGAAAAAAACTTATTTCGGTAGTCTGGTTCTAAGTCGCTCTTCAAAATAATTGTTTTTGGGTTGAAGAGGAGTCCGGAATTTTGCGTGAATCTTGGTCAGCTATCTCGAGGTGGCTTCAACTCTGGAAACTCAACTCTGCCGCCAGGGCCCGAACTGATTTCTGCCTGTTGGGGTCTCGCTTTTATTGACGCCGACAAAAACCGGGTCGGGTCTGTTGGCGTCGGGGGGGTTCTCGATAATTCTAAATACATATCCTTTGTTTCTGCTTAGGGATTTTCCACTCTTTTTCCATTTTTGGTAATTTTTTCTCACTCCCACTTTCTCACCATACTTCTGAGGGGGCGTGAAGTGCCCTCCCCACTTCTTCGTAGCAGCTTCTCATACTTATACTCTATAGGCGTCGACAGCCTTCTTCGTGCGTCACGTGATCACTCTCGGCCAATGAGGTCTTGGTCGGGTATCTTTCCTCCTCCTTCTGCGTCACGTGATCACCACTTGACCAATGATGTCTTAGTCGGGCGTGAACAATCCGTGGCTTTGTTTCGGGAAAAAAATACCTTGCTTAACTAAAAAAAATTAATTATCTCTTCTTTTCCTTTTTCTTCCTTTCAAATCGCCGTTATCATTTCTCTAGCCACGAACGGACAATATGACATCTCTTGTTTTACACGTGGTGTTTGTCCGATAGTTTATCGCTAATTTATCAAGATGGTTGGTTTTCGTAACATGGGTTCAGAAAAGAAATATCCCCAAAATTTTCAGTCAGTCTGTCGCCTCCAAGGAAGAAATAAAAACACTTGGTTCCCATTCATTTTCCTTCGGTACATATGTCTGACAACATAATTTTATTATCGCAGGGCAAAGTTGTTTCGTCGAAAAGAATTCAGTCAGCTGCACTGTTTGGGTGGATTTAATTTTTCATATCTGTCCAAAGTCCTTTTTAGTGGCCTGTTTCTTGTCACTTATCGAAATAGCATTTTCACTTGAATTTTTCCTGGGCAGTGGTCCAGCCATTCGTGTACGCACCTAGATAACATAGCCGTTATCAAAACACATCTGGTTCCTTCTTTCTTTTCCTTTTCTTTTTTTACTCAGAAATTCCCTGTCATTGTAATGACACACTTTTTCACGTGTTACTTATCAATATTTTCATTGTCTCTTAGGCCATGTGTGTGGCTGTTTTATCACCTACGATTCGTCTCGCCTTTCTTTCTGCCTTCCTTTCTTTCTCTTTCTTTCTCTGCCTCGTAAATGGTGCCACATAGGGAATGTGCTTTCCCTGTTTTGAAATTACTTGAAAAAGTCGACGATCTGTAGAATTTGTTAATTGTAGGATGTCATCTGCTCTGATGCCGCGAGATATGTCAAGAATTGCTTCTCATAACTCAGCGTTGCTCCTGAATTGTCGTCCGTTGGCGTACAATCTTCGCTTCATGATGCTCCAAAGGTTTTCGATTGGGTTCAATCCGGAGAATTTGCTGGACACTTCATTTTTCGAGGTCCATCAAAGCCTAACTGTTTCAAATATTCAGTATTTTTGTGAGCAGCGTGTAAGGGATCATTATCTTGAATAAAAAAACAATGGCCCTTCTGAAGGCAACTCTTTGCCTTTTCATCCACGGTCCAAGATGCTCCTTCATAAATGCTATGTATGCATCAGCAGCCATTTTGACGCCATCTGGTACTCTCCATGGGCCCAGTAATGTGTTTCCAATAATACCACCCTAGATCATTATGCCTCCACCGCCTTGTTGGCGTCTCAAACACTGATAGCGATTCTGTCCGTTCATTACCCAGCCTTTGCACCATCTATCTGGCCCATCAAGTGTTGCTCGAGTTTCATCTGTGGACAAAACTATAGAGAAGTCAATCTTCATATTGTCCTCGGCCCATTTCCATCGATTTTGAATGTGATTTCTCGTCAACGGAGGCTTTGATACAGGTTTGACTGTTGTTGATATTTCCCTCAGGTACCGACACCGAGTACTTTTAGACACAGTAGGATCCCCAATACGACTGAAAAGATCTTGACTGGCAAGTCCAGGGTTTCGTGGCCTCTCGTTTAAGTCGTGACATTTGCGTACTTGTGTAGGGTCGGCAGTAAATTTTTCACTGTTTGATGACACTTCACTATCATTTTAAAAATTCCGAGGGTAGATTTACCTTTTGAGAGTTCTGAGTAATAGTTTTCTTTTCAGCATCACTTAAACTGCTTTTACGGCCCATCTTTTCACTAAATTCTTACACTTTTCTAATAATTTGGCACGCTCAAATCACCGTGCTGATAACATATATGGCGCCAGTTTCTTTACCTTGTGCAAATCAGTACAAAAATTTCAGTGATTGCACAGGTCAGTGTTGCCAACATTGTATGAAATTTTTGTGTGAATTGATTGGACGGTTTTTGAAATATTAGAAAAAAGTTATCTGATAATAATTTGGCACGCAGTATATATATATATATATATATATATATATATATATATATATATATATATGATTCAATTGATATATTCCATTACATTTAATTGATAAATTCTGTTATCATCTGCCAATATGGAGGTATCGTAACTATTTGCACTATTTACATTGTTCGGACTGTTATCCTTTTCTTTATTGCTATATTCACAGTCTATATTTCTGAGATGAGGTCTTGTAACTATTTACACTATTTACATTGTTTGGACTGTTGTCCTCATCTTTATTGCCATATTCACAGTCTATATTTCTGAGATGAGGTATTGTAACTATTTACACTATTGACATTGTTTGGACTGTTGTCTTCAACTTTATTGCCATATTCACAGTCTATATTTCTGAGATGAGGTATTGTAACTATTTACACTATTTACATTGTTCGGACTGTTTTCCTCAACGATGTAGGTTCCGGCTTTCTTCAGGTGTGATATATATATATATATATATATATATATATATATATATATATATATATATGTAAGAAGAAAAACTTCTACACTGAGAAGCTCCACCGATGAACTGGATTTGCATAAACAGAGAAAATTTGAAAAAATAAATATAATTAGATTTAAACAAAAATAAAACTGAGTTGGTATTACTTATAGAACTCATATAATGATACATTTTAAGTAAAAAGTCGACGTTCAGACCCTTTTACGAGAATCACGTAATATCTCGCAAGTGTAGTATTTACTCTTCTGTAATTATTTTTTTTTTTTTCTGATCGGGTTGATTCATCAATAAAACGTGTCATTGAAGGGACTCTGTCGCATAGTTCATTTGGCGTCGCTGATTTGGAGTGGCCGATTCGGCGTGGCCGATTCGATAAAGGAATTTTTCGGCAGATTAGGCGTCAGATTACTACTTCGTCGTGATAGTCAAATTTGATCTCTCTTTTTCTCACTCTCTCGTTTAGCAGTCAAATTAGTACTTCAAGTTTGCTCGAATTGTCCAGTTTAAGAAAAAGTGTAGTTGGAGGCTATTTCATATTTAAGACTAGTTGGCAGTATTTTTATATTATATTTCCTTCAGTGCAGTTTCATAGTTTTCAGTCGTCAAAGCCTTTTTATTCCAAATGGAAGCAAATATTTTATGAAAACGTGGAAGAAACAAAGTAATACACCGTTTTTTTTTTTGTTTTTTTTTTACGCAACGAGCAAGGGGAATCCTGAATTAAAGTTTTGGCGATGTGAACAGGAAGATTGATTAAAGTGAGATTACATAGAAATGATGGAAAAATGATTCTTTTTTTTGAAATACAATGTTTTTAATTAAGTTTTTAATTTACATTATTCCATTAGTGTTTTAATAGAATCCTTAATTCCCTAAATGAATAAAAGATCATTTTGAAAGTTGAGTGTTTACAGTGCTTTTAACCAGATTATTTTTTTGGTGTGTGTGTGGAGGGATGCGTCCATTCAAAGACAGTGTGACAAAATACTCTAACGCCTAAACGTCTGTGCCAAATCGTCTACTTATTTTTCTGACTTCGAATCGAGCAAACCGAATCGGCCACGCCGAATCGGCCAAACCGAATCGACCAACCTGAATCGACCACGCCGAATCGGCCACGCCGAATCGACCAACCTGAATCGACCACGCCGAATCGACCTCAACGAATCGGTCACGCGGAATCGACCACAACGAATCGGCCACGCCGAATAAGCGAAGCCAAATGGAATACGTCGAAACGTACCCTACCCGTCATGGAAGAGGCTTTCCAAACAGTTTTATAGAAGCGCTGTCTTAAAAGTAACGGGACTGGGTATGCTGCGTGGGATATAAGAATCGGGCAACATTTACCCGTCTGAAAGTCCGAGAAATTTCATAGAAAATATGTCTTCCGACAGAAACCAAAGCTGTATCCTGCACGGAATCGTCATATAGCCCGACGTGCTGGTTAGCAAGGCCGAAGCTACTGCTTTTAAACTACAAATTTCTCATGATTTCCCTCAAACGTCCATATCTGTTCTAGCGTATTTTATCATAAACAAATGACGTCATATATATTCGAGGCTATATGACGGTTCCGTGTAGAATACAGATTCGATTCCTATCGGAAGACACATATTTTCTAGGAAATTTCTCAGGCATTCCGGCTGGTAAATGTTGTTAATACTGTTTATTATTAACAGAGCATTTATTTAAATATTTGTGTCTATCTAAATAACAACAAATAACAATAAAATATATTAAAATATTTGTCGGACTTAGTCCATTTCATAATATATATATATATATATATATATATATATATATATATATATATAAAAAGGAAAGAACAGTGAGATATATAATCCGGTGTTCTTTTTGATATTTTTATTTTTACAAAACAGTGCTCAATGTAAATTTACAGAGCATAAATAACTAGCTTTAAAATCGATAAAACTAGAAAGATATTATATAAAGAATTTAAAATCCTGAACTTAAAAATTACGGTAAGCACTAAATTAAAAAAGTTAACTTCCTTGATATAACATTAGATTTAATGAAAAATGTATATATAGCTTATAAAGAACCCAATACTAATCGTTTCCTAGAGAAAGTAAACTACGTACTATTTTCAATAAAAATACACTAAAATTAAGTTACAGTTGTACTGAAAAATTAGAGAATATTATTAAGAAACAATATCTTCAATAAACACTTAGACCAAAACCAAAGAAATTTAGACAATGTAAAAATAAAAATAAAAATAAATGAAGATAAACAAAAATTAAATGTAGAAATCCTCATAACTGTCCTCTACAAAATAAATGTCGCACGGAATCTTTAATATACCAATGCAATATCTCATCTATTGAGAATCCCGAATACATAAATGTCTATATAGGTTGCACAAGCCATGAGTTCAAAAAGAGGTTCAATCAACATCAAACTTCATTTAGGATAAATAAATACCGAAATCAGACGTCCCTATCGAAGTATTTCCGGCACTGAAATGAAACCAATAAAACACTTATAGTAAAATGGAAATTAATAAGCAAAGCTGGAATATGTAGATCATTAAATGGCCCATGTCCTTTGTGCATTCATGAGAAACTATATATTACTAATTTTCTAAAAAATATTAATTTTCTGAACCAAAGATATGCCGAGATTGTCAAAAATTTTCCTTAAATGATATTTAAAAATATGATAAAAATTAAAAATATGAAGAAATGGGAGCTGGTAATATACATATTTATATTTGATATTTAATAATAATTTTAATAATATAAGTAATTCTATTACATTTACTTGATTTAAAAAGAAATACAGTCTATTAGTAATTAAGAGTAAAAATAATATTTTAAAATTGTAGTTCAATATAACATATTCTAACCGTAACCCCCCTTTTAGAAAGAATCTTTAAGTATACAAGTACGAATTTAACGGAAAAAATGCCGAAAAACTTTTGTCGTTGATAAAAAAAAAACAAAAAAAAACAGATGACATGCGTTGAACGGATGTCAGAATTCGTTTAAAATGCACCCCTACCCTCCCTAAACTTAACCTCTTTTTCGAACGTAACTCATAATTGATACAACAATAGTTAATAAAAATGAACACGTTACCTCCCCTGTCTGAATGATTGGATTCCTCTGTATTCTTGGAAACAAGCACCGTCATATAGCCTGACGTGCTTTTACCGATTTCGCCACAGGAAAATCGAGCTTGCTAACCGAAACGCTCCTCAGGCTGGTGAATGTTGTTAATACTGTTCCTTATAAACAGAGCATTTACTTAAACATTTGTATCTATAATAAAAAGAATGTATAAACATAAAATGTCTTAATAAATATATATATATATATATATATATATATATATATATATATATACGCACACATATATATGTGTATGTGTGTATTTTATTAATACCTGTTTAAAGGTATTCAGGAATTATGAAGATACTTTCGGATGTCTTGAACAAAGATTTTAAACCTTATTGAATCATTTAAAATTCGGTGTCCTCTGTAAAACTAAGAAATTTTAATTGAATATAAAATGATGGTCAGTCGATTTTTATTTTTTTGTCGGCTTATTTACAACTTATCTCCCCTTTGTGCATTACTTAACGTTAAAACATATTTCGTATTTCACGTTTTATGTTTTTGCGAACAAATTAAACACTTTTATTGAGAATAGCAATACTTACTCCAATCACAAGTGCTACTGTTTAACCCATAGTGTTACTATCAAACTGATTTAGTGTTAATATTTAACCCGTAACCCATAGAGATTGATTAATAGCTTTCCAAGAGATGTTTGCGTGTAAGCAAATGAAACGAAGTGATTTCTCATTTTCAGAGCTCATATAACTTGACCTTATGCCATACCGTGCCAAATTGGAACCAATAAATCGTTTTTACGTGCAACATTTCTATTCTTTTACGCCAATGTCAATTTCATTTTTTTTTTTGTACATTTTGGCTCAGCGTGGGTTATTTTTATATAATATAAATTTGTTTTGATGGCATCCTAATATCAAATACACAAAAAATGAAACATTCTTTTCTAGTCATTCTCTGAATATTATTTTTTTTTTATGTGAGTTCATTTTATCTACATCTTCTTGTCTCAATCCATTTATCTTCGTTGGAATTCACTTTCCCGGCATCATTTCTGTATTTGGCTTGAATTTCCATTTTTTTCCTTTTTTCTTTTTTTTTTTTTCTCTATTAGAACCTCTTGTTCGAAGCATATTTTGTAGAGAACTTGCTTCCGTTTATTTCGAATGCTTCCATTCTTTTTTTTTTTTTAATTCATTTCCGGAGATTCACTCTGACATAATCTTCGACATGACTGCAGTTCGGTTCTCTTAATCTTCATTTCTGGCCATTTTTCTTGCTTGCTTCATCTGAAGTTTGAGGGAAAATATTTTACTTGACTTTTCCGTGACTTTCACTTTTCCTTCAATTTCTTTCTTTCTTTCTTTCTTTCTTTCTTTCTTTCTTTCTTTCTTTCTTTCTTTCTTTTGTATCCCGTTTTCTAATTTAATGTCTTTTACTTCCTTTTCTATTTAAGATTCTTTCTTTATTTCTTTCTTTCTTTCTCTCTCTTTCTTTCTTTCTTTCTTTCTTTTTTCTTTTTACCTTACGTTGAAACTTTATTATTTATAGTCTCCCTTTCTTGTGTATATTTTCTTCCAATCTTTTGCTATACGGTTCCGTCATTTAATGTGTTTATTTTACCTCGATTGAATCCTTCTTTCTTTCTTTCTTTCTTTCTTTCTTTCTTTCTTTCGTTCGTTCGTTCGTACTTTCATTATTCCGTTTATTCGTTCGTTTTTACTTTCATTCTTTCTTTCTTTCTTTTTTCTTTCTTTCTTTTGCTATACGCTGTTTCATTTGCCTTGGTTCCTTTATACGTCAAAGTATTCTTTCTTTCTTTCTTTCTTTCGTTCGTTCGTTCGTACTTTCATTCTTCTGTTTGTTCTTTCGTTTGTACGTTCATTGTTTCTTTCTTTCTTTCTTTTTTCTCTCTTTCTTTCTTTTGCTATTCGCTTCATTTGCCTTGGTTCCTTTATACGTCGAAGTATTCTTTCTTTCTGTTTGCTATTCATGGAATGCTTTCTTATCAATTTTGTCTTTCTCTATTGATCTATAAATACACAAAATTTGATTTCTCAACAGATCCAGAATTTTCTACGATTTTCCGTTTGATTTTTCATCTATTTTCTGCCAATCTATCATTCTGCCCAAATTTATCAATCATTTTAAGAAGCCATCTTTGTTCAGGTCTCCCAGTCTATCTCTGTTCAGATCTACACTTGTCTCCTATCGCAATTAATTTAGATCCCTATCTAATAATATATGTCATCAGTATTTTCCCCACTGGTTTACTATCTATCTATCTATCTATCTATCTATCTATCTATCTATCTATCTATCTATCTATATATATATATATATATATATATATATATATATATATTAATCCATTTTTATTTCTTTCTTTTTTCTATCTATCTATCTATCTATCTATCTATCTATCTATCTATCTATCTATCTATCTATCTAATAATGTCAATTACCTATCTAGCTATCTCAGTTTGTCCGTAACCATCTATCTATCTATCTATCTATCTATCTATCTATCTATCTATCTATCTATCTATCTATCTAATAATGTCCATTAGCTATCTAGCTATCTCAGTTTGTCCGTAACTATCTATCTATCTATCTTAATCACTATTTCCTCTCTTTCTTTTTTCTATCTATCTATCTATCTATCTATCTATCTATCTATCTATCTATTTATCTATCAACATATATATATATATATATATAATAATGTCACTATCTATCTATCTATCTATCTATCTATCTATCTATCTATCTATTTATCTATCTATCTAATAATGTCATTATCTATCTATCTATCTATCTATCTATCTATCTTAATCAGTATTTTCTCTTTCATTTTTCTATCTATCTGTCTATCTAATAATGTCATTATCTATCTATCTATCTATCTATCTATCTATACATATACAAATATATATATCTAATAATGTCACTATATATCTATCTATATATCTATCTATCTATCTAATAATGTCATTATCCCTCTATCTCTATTCATCAATCTATCTTTATATATTTATATATATATATATATCTTAATCAGTATTTTCTCTCTTTCTTTTTCTATCTATCTATCTATCTATCTATCTATCTATCTATCTATCTATCTATCTATCTAATAATGTCATTATCTATCTATCTATCTATCTATCTATCTATCTTAATCAGTATTTTCTCTCTTTTCTTTTTTATTTCTTTCTATCTATCTATCTATCTATCTATCTATCTAATAATGTCATTATCTATCTATCTATCTATCTATATATATATATATATATATATATATATATATATATATATATCTAATAATGTCATTATCTATCTATCTGTCTATCTATCTATCTTTATATATTTATATATATATCTATCTTTATTCAGTATTTCTCTTTTTTTTCTATCTATCTATCTGTTCATCTAATAATGTTCATCTATCTATCTATCTATCTATGTATCTATCATCTATCTATCTATCTATCTCTTTCTCTCTCTCTGTATATATATACATATATATATATATATATATATATATATATATATATATATTTGGCATCAAACCGAAAGTGCGTTCTGATAGTAAACTAATTGATTATGTATTCAGAAATAGATAGGGAGCTAAGACAATCCCGTGTCCTCTAACTGGATTTGTTTAACCTGCACTGTGAGACCATCCTAAGGGATATGGAATCCATAACTTGATTTATCATCTGTTGTCATAATATTAACAATATATGATATGCTCATATTTAGTTTATTGTAGACACGGAAAGAAAACTATAGCATTTCCTTGACAGGATAGAAAAAGAAAGCGAGAAGAGCTATCAATTGATGGGCATTAGATGAAAGTAAATGAGGTAATATAGTAAATGAAAAACGAGATGAATTGTATGAACAACAACTGTTAAAAGATAGAAACTATAGTTTTCAGTAATTTAAAATCACCAAGATGCGAACTTCGAATTGGCGATAAAAAAATCAAACAAAATTTTAAATATCTGGGAAATATTTTTTACAAAGGAAGGGAAATGCTAACACCAAAGCCTAATGTGAATTGGAATAGCAATAAGATGTATTGCAAAAGTTAAGCAAATACTAAGAAACAGGTAAATTTTGTTTGAAAGGAATGATGAACTGCTATGTAATATAAGAGAATTTTATACTCACATGATATATCGAAAAAAAAAAGATATGGAGAAGTAATGGGCACACCTACCTGACCAGACTGTGCCGGAAAAGGATGTAAAAAGAGAAACGGTAATAAGAAATACACTGGGTAGAAAGTTTACGGGGGACCGTGATCCCTTCTGGACATGGCGCACAGAATAAGAATTTATCGTATCTTAGAACTTCTTTTCTACTACGCAAATAATAATTATATGAATCCATCTTTGTTAGAAATGGATTTCAAGCTGAACAGCCTTTACGATTGTTGATATGCAATATTTAACCAACAATAATGATTTAAAAAATTCAACATATTGGTGAGTAGTCAGTATAAACTGGGGTTAGAAGGAAGGAAATGAATGAGAGCAGAAATAATAAAACGAGTGAAAGGAAGGAAGGAAGGAAGGGAAGGAAGGAAGGAAGGAAGGAAGAGAGAAAGAATGAGCAAGAAAATGAAAGAAGGAAGACGAGAGAATATTAGATAAAAGGAGAGAATTGGCAGTGTATGCGATGGCGGGAGAGACGAGTACAGGTTTCAAAATCAAGGAAGGAAGGAAGGAAGGAAGGAAGGAAGGAAGGAAGGAAGGAAGGAAATTAATAATTTTTAATACTAAAGTTCACTCAATGCCGGATTCAGAGCCAATCAAGGCAGATGGTGACAGAATGAGCTGTGTGATATAAATGTAACCGGGGTAAAATGAAGTGGAAATTATGAGGATAAGGAGGATAGATAGAGATTGATCTTTATATTTGGAATTTAAGAATGTTAAGTAAGATGTTAAAGAAAGAAAGAAAGAAAGAAAGAAAGAAAGAAAGAGAAAATGAACGAATGATAGAAAAAAGTAATACTTGCTTTGGGATGGAGTTAATATAGGAAAAAGACATAAAAACAAAGCACTGTTGAAAGAAAGAAAGAAAGAAAGAAAGAAAGAAAGAAAGAAAGAAAGAAAGAAAGCATGTTTCTGAGTAGGTGGTAAAAGAAAGAAAGAAAAATGTGAGTATTAGAAAAAAGGAATAAAATTTGGTTTATGGAATAGAGGCAAAAACAGGGAGATGAGTAAAATAAATGAATGAATGAAGAAAGAAAGAAAGAAAGAAAGAAAGAAAGAAAGAAAGAAAGGAGTTGCATGAATGATAAAGAATGAAGGAAGAAAATACTGGCGAAGAGAATGAAGGAATAATAGAAAGGTAGCTGAAAGAAAGAAAGAAAGAAAGAAAGAAAGAAAGAAAGAATGTTTGTGAGTGGGTGGCAAAAGATGGAAATAAATACTGACAGACGAGATAGAGGAAAACAGGAACATGGTTAAAAGAAAGAAAGAAAGAAAGAAAGAAGGAAGGAAAGAAGGAAAGAAAGAATGATGTGATTATTAGAAAAAAGGAATAAAAAATTGGTTTATGGAATAGAGGCAAAAACAAGGAGATGAGTAAAATAAATAAAAAAAGAAAGACAGAAAGAGCATACGTGAATGGCAGCAAAGAAGAAAGAAAGAAAGACAAGAATGAATGAGTAAAATAATGGAACGAAAGCATTAATGAAAATAATGTCTGATAAACGATGACGAAAGAAAGAAAAATGAAGAAAAGCAAACAAGAATGAATAAATGGCGAAAGTTAAATAGGAATTAGAATCGGTAAGAAACAGAGAAAGATAAATTGGAAAAAATGAACAAAAATCATGTCGAATAAATGGAGGTAGACATAAAAATTATCAGGAAATCCCTACAGGCACAATTCCTTGTGCAGTTTTGGTTGGATATTGTCCGTTTTTATCCTGATCAGAATTCCATCAGTTTTTAAACCAAACGCCATTATCGTTTGGGGAGAGAAATGTCTAAATCTACCTCTGTCCAAAGAAAACGCATAAAGTACAAATTCAGCCTGCCGTATCTGCGCATGTCTCTGGAAACACTAAAGAAAGCTAGAAATGTGAAATAAAAAAATAAAATTAACGGTGAAATTGGAAAGAAAGGAAAAAAAAAGAGCGTAGGCAGAAAACTGAACGAAAGTGAAATGAAAAAAATTAGGGATGAAAATAAAGAGAAAAATGGAAATGAAAGAAAGAAAAAAAGGTGAAGAGAGGAACAGTAATGAATGAATATTTATAAAAAATGAAAATTGAAAGAGAAAAAGACGAAGAGAGGACATGAAAAAAAAACGTAGAAAGATAAAGATGAGAAAAAAAATCCAGGGAGAATTACAACGCAAAGTCAAACAGAATCAATATGAATGAATAAACGAATGAATGAATGAGTAAATGAAAGAGAAAGAAGGAGAGGAGATGTATAAACGAAAGAAAAAAAATGAAAGTACTAAAAAATAAAATCTGAGAAAATACGATTTACAAAATTGATGAAAAAAGGAAATCAAAAAAGAATGAAAGGATGATAGACCTAGAACAATCTCGAATACAGCCTTTGTTGTTAACCGGTGCAAGAAACCGCTTGTTAATTTTAACACCTCCAAAACGAAAACTCTTCTCTTTTAATTACTTTACAGATTTCTTTTTGTCTTCGATCAGAATGGCTGATACTAACCCTTAGAGGATTAACTCATTGCTCTTTCTAGGCATAACGTGTCTGCTGACATGAAGTGAAAAGATTGTACTGAGTCACTTGCTAGGTCTAGTGCTAAGGGTTGACTGTATCGGGTTAGACAGTTTTTTCTTACGAGAATCTATCATACATATTTATATGACTATCATTCGTTGACGCGTTGGATATTGCTGTCACACCTTTTGCTATCTGTTTAGAGATTCTTGATAAAATCAAAAAAGAATCTGTAATGTTATCGGTTCTAACCTTGCATCTCAGCTTCAGGCACATTCCCACCACCGTAATGTAGCTTCTCTATGCTTTTTCTATAAATATTTTCATGGGAATTGTTCTGGTGAATTCTCCTCTATGGTACCTAGACATTATGAATTTTAGCGCAGTAATAGATTGACAGCAAGATCCCATCGTTTCACAGTTGAGATCACAATATTTAACCATACGATCTTTGCTGTTTAATTTCTCGCACTTCGTGATTGTGGAATTCTCTTTTGGCCTATTGCTTTCCAGTTAAATTTGATTTTCAGAGATTTATCGATAGGTCTATGCTATTATTTTAATGGTTAGAATAATACAATAGACCTACCCATAACGCATCACGGGCCAATACATATTAATAGTCGCGCAAAAACACAACGCACATGGCCTGACTACTACGTTTAGGAGGATTTGAGATAATTATAACTAAGTAATTCATCGATGAATTATTCAATTATAATTATCTCAAATTGGAATCTGTGATCGATCGGCGCTATATCGAGTCTGATTCACTACCTCTTAGAGAAAAGGCAACTATTAATGCAAAGTGATAACAAGTAAAATTTTTAATGACTGTCACCATGTTTTCAGAATAATAACTAAAAAAGGATTCTTCAGGTGGTTGCAATGTCGAAGTGAACCCTTTATGTCGCTCGCTGGGGTAGACTGTTCTAGTTCCACGTGCCATGTCTAATGGATGTCAGTTATCAGTTATCTGTTAATTCCCCTCTCCAAGTTCTCCACTGCCTTAATCAGGTATTGAACTCACACTCTTTCGCTCCTGTCACTGGATCTAACCAAGGTCTTTATCCGCTGTGCCATGTGTCCTGAAGAAGGCCGGAGCTTACAACGGCCGAAACGTTGTAATAAATATGGAAACAAAGATGAGGACAATAGTCGGAATAATGTAAATAGTGTACATAATACCTCATCTCAGAAATATAGATAGATACTGAAAGGCCGAAACGTTGTGATAAATATGGCGACAATGATGAGGACAATAGGCCGAATAATGTAAATAGTGTATATAATACCTCATCTCAGAACTATAGACAGATACTGAAAGGCCGAAACGTTGTGATAAATATGGCGACAAAGATGAGGACAATAGTCGGAATAATGGAAATGTGTACATAATACCTCATCTCAGAAATATAGGCAGATACTGAAAGGCCGAAATATTATCATAAATTTGGCGACAAAGATGAGGACAATAGACCGAATAATGTAAATAATACCTCATCTCAGGAATATAGACAGATAAAAAAGTATTGTATATCATTACAAAGTTCATGCTTGCAAAAGTAAATAATGAGGCATAGCTTAACCGAAAATCTCCTTCGGCTAATTTGTATTTAGGTAGGAATATATATATATATATATATATATATATATATATATATATATATATGTGCATCTGTCGGTCTGGTGACCTTTGATCTGCGCCCAAAAAGTTATGCTTAAGTGCCTGATGGCGGCTGATGGCTAACTGTTATCGTTGTACAGGAGTTACAGTCTCCATTACGACTAATGAATGACGGTCTACACCGATGTCACTGCGTTCCTTCGAGCACGCTTCACTTCGCCGGTAAGCCCCCGTTTCATCTCTATTCTCCTCGGTAAATCGCGTCTCTAGCGTCAGCGAATGCAGGCAACGTCTTTTTAATTCTCGATATATATATATATATATATATATATATATATATATATATATATATATATATCCAAGTATAGGATTAGTTCAATAACTAAAAAATACTATTCTTAAGAATTCAATGACAGTAGCGCA